ATGAAAATCACATATCTTAAAAACGGTCTAACTCCCGCTCTAGTAAAGCAAATTCAATTCTGCAACTTGCAAATAATGTAGTTTTAAAACTATGTTGAGACATTTTTTAATTGATTCTATTAATAAAGTTAAAATTTCAAATATTCTTTTAATTACAAGTTTAGTAGTAAAAGATTACGATTTATTAGAGATCCGAAATATATACTTACATATAATTCTTTAATGTCTCAACATAGTTTTAAAACTATACTATTCTATATCATTTGCAAGTTACGGAATTGAATTTGCTTTACTAGAGCAGGAGGCAGAATGTTCTAAAAATGTGTGATTTTTATAATTGTTATAATAAATTATAAAAATCATATATTCAAAACGTTCCAACTTCAATTCTGAAACTTGTAAATGATATATGAGTAGTGTAGTTTTAAAACTATGTTGAGGTATTTTTTTAAATTTTTTTGTAAATAACGCCCATATTCAAGCCCTGCATAGAGTACATTTAAAACAAAACTTTAGTAAATTCGCCATAAAATCTGATAGGATTTTTATCGGGAAAATCCTATAAATCCGGAAATATTTTAGGTACTACAGTACTAATTACCTTACTAAAAATTTTTTTAATTAGTCAACTCTTTTATTTTACATTACTTTTTTTTTTTCAATAACTCATCTAAAATAACTTTAGCAGCCGTCTCTCCAAGTTCTATTTCTGCCTTGTTAACTATGTTACTTCGTTTCTCCTTGCGAATTGCTAATAAATCTTCACGATCAAGCCTTACTTCCGGTCGATTTGGACTAGATAGTAAAAGCCTTGCTTCTTGAAGTTCGTCAGTCATATTAGGGTGAGTTTTAATGTCATATTTGTTAAACATTCCTTCAAGCTGTTGTTGGTGAACTATGATTGACCAAACTCTATGTTTAACAAAGTCATATATAAGTGGAAATTTGGAGAGCTCGTTTGCACAGGATATTGAAAAGATAAGAAACTGTTCCAAAAACTTGGGATCCCTTAGTGCATATAATAAACCGAATGATTGAAAATTTCCTTCTAACTTATCTTTTTTTAATAGTTCGGTATATAGAAGTTCTTTATCAGTTATTTCATCATTCAATGATCGGTTTAAGAAGACACGACAAATACTCCGTGCAAAATCAGGACCATTATTTCCACCTAATAGACATATGGTTAATGGTAAATGAGTCCAGCAGCCCATCCATTTTAAAAATCCATCTCGGGCTTTTTGTAAACCAAGTTTAATCTGGTGGATTAAAGCCGTGAATTCTTGATCACATAGTGTTGATCGTGCTTCAGTAAGTTCTTTCTCAAAAATTATATAAGGGTTAATAACTGCACGTTGCAATTCACTTAGCCAGAATGAAACTTGATCAGGAAGCTCATGTGCACGGTATCCAGGAGGAAGGCATTTGGACTTATCATTTTCTGGGATTCGAGATATATTATCAAACCCAGTTAGAAATTCAAAGAATTTCGTATGAAAAAATAGTCCAAATTGCACCATGCACTTTATCTGAAGATTAAGCTTCCTATTATTTATCCATTCGACGAAGACCTTCCACTGTTTAACATATCCATCAGATATATTTTTGAATTGATCAAGTTGTTTTACAAACCAAGTCCCAAAAAGACAATGAGCATTATAATTTTCAAGATACTGATTTGCAGTTATTAATTGGTATTGCCATCGACTCGAAATAGGCTTTTGGTATTTTTTTAAAGTATACTGTAAAAGCGTATAGTATAACCTTCTAATCGTGTCGGATTTCATATTTAACGGACAGTCTTTATTGCTTTCACCATAACCGTCGTGTAAATAATGGACAAGCTGAAGAAGATTATAAGGATGTTCTCGGAGCGATAATCCTGACACTGTGTTTAACTTACCAAATACAGTATTTTCAAAAGCAATCAAGGCTATTTGTAGTGCATGTAAACCGCATGGAATTCTAAACGAAGATGCATTCGTCTGTGAATTAAATTCCACTACGGCACCTGATTTACTTCCTGACATATATGCTGTATTATCGGTAAGCCAAAATCCACATTGTCGCGGGTCTAATTTATTCTCTTCACATGTTTCTTTTACTGTTTTGGCTACAATGGCTCCATTACATCTATTTAAATCTACCATTTTTGCAAGTGTAGCCATTGGTTTATTATATTGTTCACTCCAATGCAAAAAACAAACCAAAAAAACTTTCTTATCTCCTCTTGTACTTTCATCTGCCATTACACCATATGAATAGGAAGGTAGTTGCGAAGCTCTTGGCCGATTTTGCTCAAGCGATATAGTAGAAATTTCCCTATTCCACCGAGAAAGAGTTCCTATTGATAACTTTTTATCTAGTGTTTCACCAGTAAAGAAAGTTATCATCTTATTAGTACATTCCGTTGCTGCTGAAAGCGAGACGGTCCCGACGTTACTTATATCTGTGGCGAGCTTGACAAATTTAGCTGAGTATTCTTTTTTATTTTGTTTAATTATTTTTTTTGCTGCCACATTAAACTGACTTGGTGTAATTTTCTTATGAGTAATAGATTGAATTTTAGAAGTTTTTTTTTTTTTCGTTTCCTCGGCTCTTACAATTTTCATACGGAAAGATCTAAGCTTATTATTTGAGTTTTCTAATGCTTTTGCTAATTTCTTATTTTCCGTTTCTAATTTTTTAATCTTATCTTTAAAAGCATCAGCAGATGAATAATGCTTGAAAAGACCACTATTTACGAAATCATTCGCTTTATTTTGTATGTATTGTGACAATATTTCGCCTTTCATATTGCCTTTAAAATATACCATCGTATTTACTAAATGTTCAATTCTCAAGATTTGTTGGTCTGGTAAGCTTTTAATTTTATCTATTAATTTATCGAGCTTTTTTTCAGTAACGCTTTGCCGGTTGGGAGTAATTGAGTCTATATAATTTCTAACCTCTATTAATTCTTGTTGACTCAAAGAATCAATGAATTTATAAATATTTTCTTTCATTTTTAGTTTTTTGGATTTGCGATCTTCTGTAATGTTTAATAAATGCTTCCTTTTTTTTGTATGGCGGGTCATTTTGTTAATGTTAAAAATTTATACGTAGTAATAAATAATTTCCAAATAAGGATTATTTGTTTTCAAATATTCTATTTATATCTTATTTTTTTTTTCAAAACAATAAATACTAAGAATTTTAATATAATATTTAAAAGTCAACATTTTCAACTTTGATGTTTATTTGCGCATATTCACATACTTATATTATAGTTAACTGTAAGACTTGGAATAACATGAATAGGGGCGTTATCTCATGACTATATTAAAAATTACAAATAAATTTTCCCGCAAGTTGCACGAATAAATTATTAGTAATGGCGAATTTACTAAAGCTTCGTTTTAAATAAAAACAATGATTTGGTTGTCCTTTTATGTTAAATTACTCAAGATAAAACTAACTTACATTTACATAATGTAAAATGAATTTTATCACATGATTTGTGCGATGTAAAATGTATGCTAGGTATCTCGAGCGAAGCCCGTAGTTTGATATGCTTAGTTTAAAATAATATTACGCGCATATACATATATACTCTACGCAGGACTTGAAAATGGGCGTTATTTGCTATTTAAATTCGCAAATTAAAAAAGAATAAAATTTTAATTTATTTTTTAACTATAGTATATTAAAATTATTTAAAAAAATGCCTCAACATAGTTTTAAAACTACACTACTCATATATCATTTGCAAGTTACAGAATTGAATTTGCTTTTCTAGAGTGGGAGTTAGAATGTTTTGAAGATATGTGATTTTTTATAAACTTTCATAGCTAATTTATTATAACAATTATAAAAAATCACATCTTTAAAACATTCTAACTCCCGTTCTAGTAAAGCAAATTCAATTCTGTAACTTGCAAATGATATATGAATAGTGTAGTTTTAAATCTATGTTGAGACATTAAAGAATTACACGTAAGTATTTCTAGTTTAAACATAAATCGTAATATTTTACTATTTAAATTCGATTAAAAAAATGTCGCAACATAATTTTACAACTACACTATTCACATACCATTTGCAAGTTACAGAATTGAATTTGCTTTACTAGAGCGGGAGTTAGAACGTTTTGAAGATGTGATTTTTTATAAAAGTTCAGACAATTTATTATAAAAATTATAAAAATCACACATCTTCAAAACGTTCTAACTCCCGCTCTAGTAAAGCAATCTCAATTCCGTAACTTACAAATGGTATATGAGTAGTGTAGTTTTAAAACTATGTTGAGACATTAAAGAATTATATGTAAGTATATATTTCGGGTCTCTAGCTTAAACTTATAAATCGTAATCTTTTACTACTAAATTTGTAATTAAACGAATATTTGAAATTTTAACTTTATTAATAGAATCAATTAAAAAATGTCTCAACATAGTTTTAAAACTACATTATTCATATATTATTTGCAAGTTGCAGAATTGAATTTGCTTTACTAGAGCGGGAGTTAGACCGTTTTTAAGATATGTGATTTTCAT